GACTTGTATTCTGAATCTTATGACAACATCTCATGAGGGTACTGACATTGACATCATATGTTTCTATGTCCTAGATGATGCAGGATTGTGATGACATAACATCCATAGATAACACCACAAATATGAGATATATATGCATATGTAAACTGAAAATAATCAAATACAATATTGAATGTGAAGGTATAGGAATTGGTGAAACACAATATCACATAAAAGGTTGGTTATATTATTGTTTTTCATAATTAAGCATACATAAATGAAATTTAAAATGTCAATGTTGTAGTCCTGATTCAATAAAACAGAACTGAAAGCTATTATACTACACAAATGGACATGGCTTGAAGCTGACAATTTTTTTTAGTTCTGATTCAGGTGTTGCTTGAATAGGAGTCTTTGGCTTCATCTGTATGTATGTATGTACAGTATGTATGTATTTTTCCTCCAGTTAGGACATGCTGCAAACAAGCTCCACAAATTCTGTGATTTTTCATCTGCAACAAAGCTAAGTTTTGCGTTTATTTGGTTCCTTGTCCTTTGTAAATAGTTTTTTGACTCCCATGTGCGAAGCACAAAATGGGAGTCTTTGCGGTTAGTGTGTCCGTATGCGTGTGTGTGTGTATGTGTGTGTATGTGTGTCCGACTGTTCCACTGATATCTCAAGAACCATGCATCAGTTTTTGATGAAACTTGGTGCATAGATGCTCTGGGCTAATGCGCAGATTTGATTAGGTTTTGGTAAAATTTCATGCATATTAATTACCTAATTTGCATGATAATAAGCTAATTTTTAGCTGTTCCATGATTGTTCAATTGATATCTAAAGAACCACTTATTGGATTTTGATGAAACTTTGTACATGGATGCTCTGAACTAATGCTTGGTTTTGATTAGTTTTTGGTAAAAATTAGCTAATCACTAATTACCTAATTTGCATAAAGATTAGTCAATTTTCGTTTTTTCCACTGGTATCTCAAGTACTAATCATCACATTTCAATGAAACTTGGTACATAGATGTCATAGGACACTGCACAGACCTAATTATTACTACTAATTACTAATTATCACATTGCAATGAAACTTGGTACATAGATCCTTTAGGACTATCCAGAGACCTGATTAGTTTTAGGGTAAATAATTGGGTATATTAATTACCTAATTTGCATAATTAATTAATTTTCAGCTTTCACACTGATTTCTCAAGTACTAATCACATTTCAATGAAACTTTGTACATGGATGCTGTAGGACAATAGACCTGGATAATTGTGGGTTAAAATCTGTACA